AACAATAACAAGAGAGCAAACAATATGCTTAAGCACACAAATCCGGAAAGAATGACTTCACAATTGGAACTGAAACTGCAACGACCTAATGATAAGTAGATAAATACTTGAACAATTTTCACAAAGGTAAAGTTAGATTTACTGGAGCATTCATGCTGCTAAGAGTATATGTAATGGTCAGACGAATCGTCAGTATATAATAGTGTGGCTCCAACTGAAGTCGTCATACAAATAAAACAACAGTTCCATATGAGATCTGTACTAGTAACGAGTGGCTGTTCGTTTATAAGATTCAGATATTTTGAGGAAAAAAAAACATCCAAAAAGAGAGGATGGGACTTAGAGGGATATATGGAACTTAGAGGGTTTTATGCCCCAATAGAACAAAATGTCAACATCCGTGAAAACTAATCGCTCGAATTAAGAGTCAATTTTGTGTGTTTCTTAGGTCATCTTGCTTTATTTTCTGAAAATGGTTTGTGTTTGCTGGTGAATGACTGATTATACAGTTGGTGTGAAAATACATAAAGAACGTATTTTAGGATGAATGTTTGTTGAGTTCACTTGTGTCGTATTTTTTTAAAATAGTATGAGTGTGTTTGAACAGATGTGTCCCGCGAGATTGATTAGGCTTGAGCTTATTTGGATTAATTCCGATATTGGCGTAGATTAATAAATATCAACTTTTCTTTGAATGACAGTAAAGAGACCGGCTTTATTTTTGTTATATTTGGTAAATTATATGGTAAGACCTCTTAGGTTTTTCTAGTGAGCAGAAACTTTTGTAATTGAAAAATGGGTGTTGTTAGTTAGCAGAGTGACAATTTTTTCGCGATTTTAAGTTTTACTGTGATTCATTCCAAGCGCTTCGAGGGTCAGGCGTAGCCTAATGGCTAGCGTGGTCGGAGTCTGAATCCAAGAGTTCATGATTCGTTGCATTAAAAAGGTGTTTCGCACTTTGTAGCGTTGAGTGCACTATAAAAGTAACAGTCAAATCAACTATTCTATTAGACAAAAATAACTCAAAAGTTGGCAGTAGGTGCTGTTGACTAGTGTCATCCCTCTACTCTATCAAGCGAAAAATATGAAGTACGATGCGCAGGTACTTTTGTGTATCCTTGCGCTAAACTTAAACAAACCAAAATTTTGTATATAAAGCTCGTTAAAAACTGAAGCATTTTGTTGTTGTTGTCCAAGATGGATAAGTGGTAGTTGAAACTGAAGTTAAGAAAAGCTTTCAATCGGTCGAATCAGTAAGTCAAATTATATACATATTGTAATGTTTAGCTTGCAGAAATTTCATAGACAACCATCAATGATTGTAAAAATAAATGTATAAAAACTCTAGATTATGCAACTATAAACTATTATCGATCAAAGGAAGAAGTCTTCGCTCCCTTTGTACTACTGAAGAAAGTGTACCGCAATTGGCAAAGAGTAGTTTTGAAAAGACAGAAAAAGCGTGCGGTAGTCTTCAAAAGAAGTGTGACGAGATGATAACAGACTATAGAGAACTGAGTGACGGTGGTAGTCATATAGTTTACTATAAAAAGCTGATCGACAAAAATGAAAAAAAAAATAGTGAATGTAAAAAAAAAATCAGTTAGCAAACAAATTACGAAGTTGACGATATAAGAAATTAAATTTCGAATAAGTTAGAAGAATTAAACAAAAATGTAATCGTTCATACCATTTGTCAAAAGTGTCACAAGTAAAAAAACTAACGGTTGTCAGATTCTTCGTTTCTAAGCAACGATGATCATAACTTCCCTCAACAAATCTTATTTACTATTCAAAACTACAGGACGAAATTTAAAACAAATCAGTTTATTCCAATATGATTAACCTACCATGCACTTATTCTACATATCGATGAAATATTTTATTATGCAACATAAACGGATCGTTTTCGTTAATACTTTAATTAGATAGTCAACAAAACAATTTTCCATCAAAGTAAATCACTGGAAGACAAAGAGGTTATCTTATGGAAAAATAATACACTTTCAAGCAGATATTCAAAGGACTGCAGAGGAAGGTTCGTCCAACTGTAGAGATTAAGGCTTACCTCTGATCATTTGGCCATCATCATCATCATCATCCATCCCCCATATCCCTCTACAACTGTTAAATTATTTTTGAAGCTTTGATCTTTCTCTTTTTTCAAATCTAATCCATTAGTAAAGAATGATGGAATTCTGGGGCTCACTCCAGGAAAGTACGGGAAGTATAATTCACTTTATTGCAAACTTTACCTTGAATACCATTCATAAGATGATGTAATATATATATATATATATACATATTAATTTTGCTTCTTTATTATGGATATTCGCTCAAAGCTACACAAGGGCTATCTGTACTAGTCGTTTCTTATTTTCAGTTCATAAGACAAGAGGGAAGGTAATTAGTTAACAGCAACCACAGCCAAATCTATCTTTGGCTATTCTAGTTCAATAATGGACTTTGACCGTCAGTCTTAAAACGTACTCACAGCCTCAAACAAAGTCCGAAGCGACAACAGGATGCGAACCATGAATTCTCGGACTCACACTCCGGAATGCTAACGACTAAACCACGCCCGGCGCGTATAAGCCATTCCATCTGTTTCTTTTACCTTTTCTAGCTTTTGGAGTCTATAACTGAGAACTAGATATTTCGACTTGGTTCCATGTGCCTTCAATTTAGTCAATGTATAAATTTAATTCAACGTTATCTTCATCATCCAAGCAAAGTTAAGAATAGTGTATCTGATTATTTAAGGCATTTAAAAAAAAATCATCATAAACTAAATCATTAGTGTATGGTTATCAACAACAAAAAATCTTACTTGCATTTTGTTCTTTTAAAAAGAATAAAACAGGTTCGTAATGAGAATCGGGAGCCGTTATTGCTCTGAGTTAAGTTGCTGATACACTGCACTATGACCACTGAAAGATAAACCTTATCTCAGCATTTCTAATCAGAAGTAAGTAACAACTAGCAAACAGTATGTAACCTAAGGGTGTTTACTTTCCACCCGAGACTGCAGACGCGGAGTGGTGTGATAACGGTTGAGTTGGTTGTATATTATGGAGACCATGTTCAAAATAAACAGAAACTTAGTACTTCTACTTACAGCACAGCTAGTGTCCTCATCTGTTAAATATGAGAAACTTCCAAACACATGGCTTTAAACTGCTATTCAGTTTCTAGAAGTGAATATGAAATCTGTTCTTGAATATTCATAAAACATTATGATGAACGCGCAGTTAAGCCAAGGAAACGTTTCGTACATATATAACACATTAGGGATAAATTCTGCTTACCAGTCACAAGATGATGAAAGTGCAAAATGACGTAACTGAGAGAGTACGAGGGGCTCTGGGACGTTTTTTGTAGTTTTGTTCAGCTAGAGTCTTTCTAAAAGGTTTAAATTAAAATCGAACGACATTATGGGCAATTTGAGCATACATTTGGCATTTAAAGGTACAAAGTTTCTAACTATTTAAAGTTCAGCCTTCTAAATAAGAACTGGAGTTTTAGAGACCAGAATAACTAAGCCTTTAAGTTATAAGTCTTAGTAATAAAATCATAAAAATTATAGATATGTTTTGCTCTTGAAATGCAAATTGTATATATATATGCTGGTTTTTAAACTTTAGAAACAATATTTATATCTGTTACGTTATAATGTAAAATAGTGACTCATAAGCTGTAATATTTAACATCAAAAATCCATGTCTTATTACGTTTAACTTGATAAAACTTCATGAAATTGATTCGTACTGGTTTAAACTGGTTCTCTGAAACTCCTACCTATGTTACTACTTTTATAACTTATACTAATCCATGAACATTGAGAAGAAACAAATATATTTAGAGTCACGCACACCCTTCTTGTTTATCAGATAAGAGCTAATGTGTTGCTTATTAAACATAGTTTTGATAAAACGTGGTAAGAACTGAAGATTATCAGTTTTAAGTAGGCATGGACAGGCATATGTGCATATTTCAGCTAAGGTTCCGGGCTGAAACATCTTCACCCTAAAGACATTCTTCAACTCACAGAACTTTTCTGTTGAAACTTATTTCACAAGTCAACAGGTAAATTGTTCAGATAAAGAACAAGCTACTAATGGAGAAAACAAAAAACGCCTTTATGGTATGATTCTACTTGAAGAACCAGTAATTAGGATAGTCTTTTCAAGAGTAATCGTTCAACATCACCTCTGTTTATCTATTTGTTTAAGAAGGTCACTTTTGAAGATTACGATTAGAAGCAAAACAAACAACGTAACGTTAAGAACGCTTAAGGTTCTTGGTGCAGGATGCGTGGAGTGCTTTAAGTACAGGATGTCAATAAGTTGATCTTATGATTTAAAAACATTACTCCGTCAAATGTGGCATTCCAGTCTTCTTGGCAAAATGAGCAATATCAACATAAAATATAATGACCAATAGGAAATGTTTTAAGATAAAAAGATCAAGCTCGTATCTCATATTCGACACGTAATCAAGCTTTAATTAAAAACAGCGCATTTATTTATTTTTTCATGTACAGTCACCATTTTCAAATTTAACGCACATTACGATACGTGTATGTGTTCTGGTTCAAAACCAGATGCATACTCTGTATATTACCTGTTCTACTTCTAATCCTTTATCAGCACAGAACTACTTTTTACATCGAAAATCATTTTAATTTGTTTACTTGTTAAAATTTTCTTGGTTAACTAAAATGATTTGGTAATTAACAAGGAAATCCTTTTAAATTCTTGACTTCCCATAAAGGGCGAACATAATGGTTAGTTAAATACTAAGATTACTTCTGGAACTTGAACCCTATAATATTATGATACTCTTGTTTGAGGACTAATTAGCCAACAGACAGTTAAAGTCATAGGAAACTAGAGGACCATACCTTTAATAGACAAGAACGAAATGGAAGATTGAAAAGAAGACTTGAAGATTTGCAAACAGAAGTGCGACAGAGAAACACAAGTATTTATTGGGCAAAAAATAAAGCTATACAAATATTACATTAAAAGACTAAAGGTAAATTTAGACAACTGATTGGAAAATGAAAGGTTTAATGTACACAAAACTGAACTTAAGAACTGAGTTGGGAAACTTAAACTTGAATGCGTGTTGCTGTTGATAAGAAGACTACACAGACGGCCTTCACTGAACCAAGAACCAAAACATAACAGTAAAGCTACAGATTTACAGCTTGATTAAGATACCTGACAATCATATTATCTCTTCATCTGTATGGGGCATTTTGCACTAGGGATGAAAAAACAAAATATGAAAATTACTTCACACAAATGACCTTTTGATATCGAAGTAGTTTAGATTTTTGGTTAAGTACATCAGAATATCAACTCTATCTCTGCTATATATATGAATCATAATAATAAAATACTAAGGAGGAGGTCAATTGTACATTTAATTTACAAATGTTGCTGAATTATACTTAAAAGCAAATTCAGTAGATGCTAACTTGGTGTAATTCAGAGAATATTCAGAAGGTTATAATTGTTCATTACTGGGAGGTTGTGTTGTTTCTTATAGTTTCCTGGGTTTCATTCTTACACACGTACTTAACTGCTTGGAGTTTTATTAAGTTTATCAAAAGGCATTTATTCGATATCGTTTAGATCTTATGGTCACGCCAGATTTCACTGACACATGCTTATCGAAAGTTACATGTTACAAACATATATATGAACTATAATTCTCACTGCAATTGAACTTTACTTTTTGTAAATTACCATATCGGATTACAATCAACAAAATGTAAATAATACTGACAAGGATTGCTGGAGTAGCGTTATGAATCCAGTTGCATAAAGTTGCTTTAAAAGCATCAGTTGCATGAGGTTTGTTTGTTTCTGAATTTCGCGCAAAGCTACACGAGGGCTATCTGCGCTAGCCGTCCCTAGTTTCGTAGCGTAAGACTAGAGGGAAGGCAGCTAGTCATCACCACCCACCGCCAATTCTTGGGCTACGCTTTTACCAACGAATAGTGGGATTGACCGTCACATTATAACGCTGAAAGGGCGAGCATGTTTGGTGGGACGGGGATTCGAACCCACGACCCTCAGGTTGCGAGTCGAGTGCCCTAACCACCTGGCCATGCCGGGCCGTTGCATGAGGTGATGGCCTCGAAATAGGCTTAAAAACTGCAAGCATCAGGATTCTAGGGTCAAGACTGTGTGTGGAAACCAATGGGCTTGTGAACAAGCACGTCACGTACAAAAGGTTACAATAACAGTGTTCGGTTAAGATTATATGATTTATGATAACATTATTACATTTCAAAGTTAAGACAGTTCGTATTATGACTTTCCCTTTCAATTTCCAGAAAAAATAATTGTGCGAAAACAATAATATAAAAAGGAAAATATTGTCATTTAAAATGACAAGATAAATGAAGGAGAATTATATTGCTTAAAATAATTTTACAATAAATAATAATAACGACTATTATCAAAATTTGGAAAATAATAATAAAGCGTATTTCCTTTAAAAAAAAAACATAAATTGCCAAAAACCAACTCTACAAAATGGACGTAGAAATGAAAAAAAATCCCAACAACTAAAACTTTGATAGGTTACCTATGTATGTGGTAACCAATAACAAAATCTTATTTTGTGTTATCAGCAAAAGATAGATATTACTGAAAGAACAGAAATCAACTTAGGCTATACGATACCAAAAGTTGGGTCCCCCGCTAGGACAGCGGTAAGTCTATGGACTCTCAATGCTAAAATATAGGGTTCGATTCCCCGCGGTGGACACAGCAAATGGCCCAGTGTAGCTTTGCTATGAAACAAACAAACCAAAAGTCGGCCGTTTAGTAACTATCACCTACATATTTCTTCCTTCGTATAGCCCCTGGTGGGTCGGCAGAATGTTTAATGACTGATAAAGGCTAAAAATTAGAGGTTCGATTTCTCGCGGTGAACAGAGCGCAGATTCCCATTGAGAGTTTTCTGCGTTAAAACAAACAAGCGAGTCTTTCACGTGAGGTCTGGCATGGAGCTAGACTTGCAATCTGAGGGTCGCGGGTTCGAATCCCTGTCCCACCAGACATGCTCGCCCTTTCAGCCGTGGGGGCGTTATAATGTGACGGTCAATCCCACTATACGTTGGTGAAATAGTACCCCAAGAATTGGCGGTGGGTAGTGATGCCTAGTCGACTTTCTTTTAGTCTTTCACTGCTAAATTATGGACGGTTAGCGCAAATATCGCTTTGCGCGAAATTCAAAACAAACCAGTCCTTCCCGATATTTGTTATTCTTGATGAGCAACTGGTACACTGGAAAAGCACCGTAAAAGAGGAAAAGAAAAAGGGTACCACTTGTTCAAAATTTTATTTATTTATTTGCATCTGTATTTTTGAGCTTTGTATTAAAATAACAGGGGCACCGCTCGTGGTCAAAAGGGACTTCACCCTAGAAGCTCCTGGATTTTACGCTTTGATTTTATCAAACTAACGTTTAGTGACTATCATTTTATATGTTGTACTTTCTTTTCTTTCTGTTATATATATATATATATATATATATCATTTTCTTAGCAGCATTTAAGTAGAAACAATTGCGTATTCTGTATAATGTTCACATCACCCCTAAATAGTTAGCACGAAAATTCATATGATGTATTTATTATACACTAAATAAGGGTAAGCAACGTGAACGATGAAAAATTGATATCTGTACGTAAAAGTAAAAGTGTAAAAAGAATTGGCACCCCTTTCATATCATCCAAACTTATAAAACTAAGTAAATGTACATTTGTTTCTTATACATTTATATAGTTTCAGTGGTCAGTAACGAGATATCAACATTTGTATAGTTTCAGTGGTTAGTAAGGAGTTATCAACAACATTTATATAGTTTCAGTGGTTAGTAAGGAGTTATCAACAAGATTTATATAGTTTCAGTGGTCAGTAAGGAGTTATCAACAACATTTATATAGTTTCAGTGGTTAGTAAGGAGTTATCAACAACATTTATATAGTTTCAGTGGTCAGTAAGGAGTTATCAACAACATTTATATAGTTTCAGTGGTCAGTAAGTAGTTAACAACAACATTTATATGGTTTCAGTGGTCAGTAAGGAGTTAACAACATTTATACAGTTTCAGTAATCAGTAAGAAGTTATCAACAAAAGAACAACTTTCATTCTTTATTGGCGTATTTCCAGTCCAAAACTTTATTTTTGACCTATAACCTTCTGCCCCTCTGACCTATATTTTAACGTTACGTTAATTGGTTACTGAAGCACCGTATTAGCACCTTAAGATAGATGTTCCTGTTAAATTGCGTGTTGCGAGTTTACATAATTCTGTATGTTGATAGGCACATTGAATCCGGGACATATGCACCAATTGTATATATATACATATAATCTATTGATAGAGTTTTGGTCTTTTGTACTTTCTCTTTCACAACCATTATGTTTAACTACAATTTCTAATATAATCGTGTAATGCTGGGCTTTGTTACGGACAAGTGAGTCTGAATTTCTGTAGGCGTTATAGTACTGTATAAGTTTATTTTTACTTTATAAATATATTTTACATGTTTAAATGTTTGTTATTATCTGAATTTAAAAGTCCTCAATGAGTCAGAGCAAACATTGAACAAACTTTCCATCTTTTAGCCTCTTGTTAATCAATTCGCTTCGCTGTTCCTATTATGACAACGATATTCACGTATTCAATTCAAAAAAACTCGTTTATGAACGAAGTCGAGAAAATAATGGAAATCATATTGTTTGATTTGTTCTCCATCTATATCCCAACCTTTCTGATTGGAATACGAAACACTTGCGAACATTTAAAACAGTATATATATATATATACCCATACACATACCCACAGAAAGAGAGGCATATTATTAAATAGTTCGCTGTACATTTTAGCATATCGATTGGAGAATGATGTATGAATTCCGAAAAATAAATGTAAGCCTATATATGAGCCTTTGTAACACATAAGCTAGGAGCTGCTACTACAAGTCTCTGTCTCCTACATATATTGAACACATTAATCGATGTTCAGTAAATTTACGAAACACCTGCAGAAGTACCAGAAACCTTTTCTTTACAACAATGGGCCACCTTCGGTCAAGTGTTAATTACATAAGGGGGCACTTTGTGAATAAACGTACTATATATATATATATATATATATATATATATAAAGACAAAACAACAAAAAATAGTAGACGTACCAA